AGAAAGCTCAACTAATTAATAAAATATTAATGTTAAAATTTCATGAAAATCATATGCAATCTACTGTACATGGGAGACATCATAAGAGATTAAGAGTTTAAAGAGAAAAATCTCTCATTTGTTATTGATTTTATGAATAAACTTTGTCGACATTGTTATCTTTAACTCTCCTCTTTCCAAGATCAAAAATCATTTCTTCAATTATTTTATATATTTATTGTCACAAATAAATATTAAATTAATTTTTTATATGAATTTTTAATTGAGAACAATGAGTTAAAATTAATCAATATGTATTTTTAGTTTAATCAGAAATATTCTCAGGCTAACTTCTTAACTTATTATTCAACTCTTGGTTTATAATGGATCAATAGTATTCATCATTGCAAAATAAAATTAAAATTATTCATGCATATCATATTGCAATAGTGTTTTCTATTTAGATAACTATTTTTATAAAACATAATAATAACTTATCAAATATCACAAGGTTTACTTTCTGTAGTAATAATCTCTATAAATTTTAAGAAATACGCAAATAAACTTAGAAATTTCTTTAACTACTTTGTATTTATATTCGAATAATGATCTTTAAATCAAAATTGATTAAGCTAGTCATTAATGATTCAAAAGATAAGCTTATTATTAAATATATGTTGCTAAAAGTAACACTGAAAAAAAATGAATACAAAATTTCTAATTTGCTTCTTTTCATTATTTTGACTGAATTAACGAAGGAGCAATAACATATAGGTTATTTCTATGAAAAATAATTAGAATCAACAAGTAAAAATTAGGTTATTATAGACAATAATAATTCTAAATCAAGACTAGAATTTATAAAAAGCAAAGTTATAAACTTTTCATGCAAAATATTAAATTTCCATTTCATAATCGAAAACTATTTTGAAATAAATTTAAATATTAATAATAAGATGGTTATTTAAATTTAGAAAAAAGATTTAATCACTTGATGCGAATATCATAAAATATAATATATTGTCCAATAATAAAATTATCAGGCTTTATACTTATCAAGATGCGCTTAAGATATCATTTCTGCCCAATTTTTATTAAGGTCACTTGGTGTTATTTGATCTCTCCATTCTGAGTAAATAAATTCTCTCTTAAAAAAGTTTAAAATCTCATTTAGTGATGAAGATTTAATAGGCTATGAACAAGCTAAAAAATAAATTGAATCTTTCATTTTTTTTGATAATGCGCCATACTATTCAATTACCTTCTGAGGGTATGTAGCTTCCCCATCAGTGTAAAAGAGAATTACAGAACTTATAATTAAACAATTTTATACTTATCATATTCTTAGTTTTCTTTTAAGATCTCTAATGTCTACTAAAACGGAGGTCCATAATTTGTACCTCCCCCCATTTGAAAAGTGATTAATTTTAACTATTCCTCTATTCTTAATTCTTCGCATTTTACAACAACTCTAGCTGTAATATTAAAAATGACTACACTCACCCTAGCATGACTTTTCCTACTTATTTATTAAAATTATGATTCAACACAATT